TAGAACAAGGTGTTATTTTCTCACTCCTTTTGTTTACATGTTTCGAATTTCAGGCATTCTGATTGGTCAAGAACGCAAAATGTAAACAAACGCGCTGATTGGCTAACATTATTTGCCCTTGTTGTCCGTGTTGTGTATAAGATCTACAACCGCTCGACTTCGGTTCTTGTTTTGAAATCTCATGCAACACGGCCGCCCGTGCTGTATACAGGTGTCCCAAGAACTGAAAATACAGTAGCTGTGTTCCAGCTAATTATTAGTCACGATAGAAAATTTGATCTGAGAGATTTGGGGTCATCAAACCTATTACTAGAGAACGAGTAGGAATACAACTTGACGAACATGAGATTTGTCATTTGCGCGCCAGTCGCGCCATATTTTGCTGTCGCTATTTCCACGAAACATGCATGCAATGGCGACAGCAAAATATGACGTGACAGCTGGCGCGCAGATGGCGATTTCCGTGTCGTACTCGTACTCGTACTCGTACTCGTACTCGTACTCGTACTCGTACTGATGCATGATTTCAATGATCTATTGGTGAACCAGACTTTAGTTCAAAGCAGACATAACATCGGCTCTACTAGACCACTTTTAATAATCTTAGTGTCAAAATTCATCTCTTAGAGTAAATTTTCGATATGCACTAATAATTAGCTTTATTATATACCAATAGTCGAAGTCGCATTTTTCTAGTGTTTTATTGGTCGAGAGCATATCACGTGAGAGTGACGAAATTAGACTGTCTCCCTCGCAACAGCACGAGAGGGAAACAATACGTTATCGATCGGCGAATAACGAAAACAAATCACGTGCCCATCACGTGAAGATGCGACGTTTGGATATGCCTAGTAATTTATTAAACTTTTGCTTTAAGTAACTGCAGTGTTTAATTCAGTTAACGTTTTAACAATAAAATATTTCATGTATTTACGTTCATTTGTTCTTTAATTTGTCGTTTCTTTGACTATTGATATATAATAAAACACTTATTTACTGAGAAGTGATAAGTGTAAAAATCTGGAACATAGCTATTGCATTTTTTTGGACACCCTGCATTACTTGTACTTCGACTTGTACTCCCTCAATGGTTAGCTCTTATGCAAGAGGGTTCTATGCTCGAATACTTCAAATAACTGCAAATATTTTACCACCTTCAGGTCATTCTGACGACTCGATAGTTACTGCAATTGACATCACATCAAATGGGAAATTAGCTCTGAACGGAAGCAGTTCAGGAACATTATCGCTGGTGAACTTGGGCAGTCGTCAGGTAGTTGAGACGTTCACAACGACCAAAGCTGGAGTCGGTGTACGTTTGGTTTGCATATTGAGTGATGAGGCTCGTTTTGTATTTGTCGATCAGGCAAACAGAGTGGAATTAAGAGATTTTAGTAATAAAGAGGCTGAGTTACTATTGGATCAACCAGCTGTTAAAGTGACCTGCATTACTACTCTTGGTGTAGACTATGTATTGCTTGGTTGTGAAAACGGAGAACTGTTATTGTTTAATTTACATGTTAAACAATATGAGTATGAACATCAAGCTCATTCCGAAGCCGTTTCTCAAGTTAAAAGCAACGCAGATAGTTTGCTTCACTTTGTATCGGGCTCTGCCAGTGGGTGTGTGAAACTTTGGCATGTGTCGAAAACACGAGAAAGCGGAAGTACGTCACAAAACATCAATTCATTGTTCTGCTGCCTTGGTGGAGCCAAGTTCACGCCTTTGTGGACCGACGTTTGGTCACATGACCACGTTTACCCGCATCCCATTACTGCCCTAACATTCGTGCCCGACTCCAAAGACATCATGATTGGTTCCTTCTATGGCAACAAGGTATGTTAAGTTTGTTTCTAATGGGACTATAGTGACCGCTAAAACCTATCCATTTGGTCGAACTGTCGTGAGCTAATCATTTTCGACGATGTGAAATAGTCTGCATATATCTTGTCTTTTGTGTGGCTGCATGTAAATCAGTCTTTACTGACTGTAGAGATATATGGGCACATTGATCAGCTTCATATGTTCACAACAGCTACGAGTAAATGAAAACCAGGAGCTGGTTGTTCGAAAGCCGGTTAGCTAAATTGCAGGCTAACAAAAAACGTCAAAGTAAACTTTTCGATAGATTATTTAAAAACTTTTATAGCAAGTTTTTTCATATTAAGTCTTTCCGCTAAGTCGACGTGCAGAAATGTAGAAATCCAAAATAGTGGGAAATTTTAACCCGCTAATCGCTTTAAACAACTGGCGTCGTGTTTAGGCTCCTTCGGAACAGCGTGCTTTAATTCAAGGATTATTCTCGTAAATATCTCACATCTTATAAAAAGGATGTGTCACGCAACAGGCTTGTAGCAAGCTCCTCAAGAACTTGTAACAGTGGTGCCATTTTATCAAGTTGCTACAAGGTTGTCACTCACAACTAATTGTTAACAAGTTGTTGAATGGCAGGATGAGACCATGTTGTTGGAACAAAGATGAACAATTCGCAACCAGGGGTCCTTGGTTATTTATCCACCTAATATTGTCTGGTTAATTTAACCAGGACGTCCTGGTCAAATATAACCAGATTACTGAGTAGTAATTGCTGCCTCGTAGAGGCAGCATACTAATATTGTCGGTCCCAGGCTTTCTGCGACGTATGTTTTTTGAGATTTTCGGATTTCAGTTTGTCACACAGCAGAACAATGTATTGACGACGTTTTGCGACGTATTTCTGCTTTTTGGTGTTTTCGTGGGAATTTCGTGAGGGTAATATATCATGGAAATGCTTGTTATGCTTTGTAAACGCAGAAATTCGCAGATACTACAGTATGTCGTTAAAATTCATGAATAACCAATGAATGAGTTGGTGTCGTACGGTCGTTTCAAATTAAGTTATTAAGTTAAGCTTAGCAAAATGTCATTCGTAACTGCTGGCGTAAGGAGAAAACTTTCGTGTGCGGTGCACTTTTGTAAGTTTTTCGTCACTCGTGACGCGTAAGACAAATATCCAACGTGTTGAATATTTTTGTCACGAATGAACATTTCCTCCCGTGTGCGCGGTCGAAAAGCTATCGCCTTTCATTGTAGATCGAATAGGCATGCGTAATAAAACATAAGACAAATAATTAATGAGGAATGCGATACTTGAGTAGCGACATATGAATATTCCTCATTAATTATTTTCCTTTTACAATTGTCTTATGCTTTATTACGCATGCCTATTCGATCTAGATTGAAAGGTGATAGCTTTTCGAGCGCGCAAACTTGGAGGAAATGTTCATTCGTGACTGAAATTATTCAGCATATTGAATATTCGGTCACAGATGATAGATTACAATAGATTATGTATGATCTATCATCTGTGATTCGGTGCCGATGGCACGCGTGGCTGAAATTGCTTAAAACGCCATCGTACACTGGGGGAACTTGCTTACGCCAACAGTCACGAGTGACGCTCAGCTCAGCAGATAATTCTCGTGTGCGCCAGGCTTAACACTCTCGTGTGAAATAACCGAGTATCGACCAATATGCAAATTCTGAAACAAATTTCAGAGACATACGTTAGTAAGGTCCATGCTGTTAAACACGGGTTTTATATTATCAGAGGTTGAAGCAGGAATAAAAATCGAGACATATATACGGCAAATTTAAAAACTTAGCTGTACTGCTGCTATATGTTGGTAGGTTGAAGGTCATTAAGGGAATAAAGAGATTAAGTCTGACCAAAATTGGCATACTGAATATAAACCAAATACCGGTTAGACTTTGCAGCATTAGATTATCGTTGTCGTTAGGCTTAGTACACATTGAGGTATACATTCGCAACACGAACCTAGTTTTCAAACAAATTTATTTCTTCAAAATGTTTACAAAGTTAGTAAGGCTTGCTTGTAAGAGCGTATCATTTAGGTTTCTTTTGTATCTTTAAAGAGTTCTCATATTCTTGTCTGTCTTCGGATGATAATCTTGCGATATCTTCAGGCTTCATTGGAATATATTTTGGCATCTCCTTATAGTAAAGAAACTTCATACCGCTCTTTTTCCTTCGGTTTCATCATAGCCAGATCACCTTCTTCTGCAATTGCGAAAAAAGTTGCGCTTGAGTCTTGGTCGTTCATCTCTTTGCCCTAATGAAATATATTTTGGACAATATCCTAAATGATATAGACAAATGTCGGTGATGACAATTTTCTTTTTGTAAAAAGATCAGCAATACGTTTGTATTTGCAATATTGTCGTCCTTTTCAGTTCAATTTTCCGACAAATACTCAATTTGAAGTAAATGTGGGAGGGAAGGTAGCTGTAATTGACGTACGAGTGCAGTCGCATTTCTGAATGTTTTGACATGTAAACATGACACGTTTTTTTTTGCGTGGGAGGTGCATCTTGGGTATCAGAATTGAATAAGATTCTGAAATATAAATCAACAAATCTTAGTTTATATAGTATATGTTTTAACTAAGTGAAGTAAATTTCTTTGGATATGTAACAGATTGTAAGACATTGTGTTTTAGTTTTGCAAGAATGATGGGGAAAATTGTGGTAAATTGAGCGGCGATAGCGTTTGTGCAGAGCAATCAGTAGACAGTAATATTGGCGTTTTGCTCGGAAAATAGCCTATAGCCGACTGTTATATTGAACACTTGTGGATATTTTGGATAAATTTGGTTGTTATTATTTTGACAGGTTCATCGTATAAACGCAGCTGGGATCGTGCGTACATACGAGTTTGATGGTCACAGAATTGCAGCATTACGTGTTGTGGAGGACTCCCTTATTGCTGTTGGGTTATCACATGATGACTTTAAAGTCATAAAGTGGAGTTTGAACGAGGGCTTGGTTATTGACGAGCTTGATGCCAATTTGCTGAAACTACATTACGACATATTACGTGTTAACAATGCTTCCAACCATGTGGCCTCCATTGGTAAATAACTATATATTATTATTATTATTATTTATTTGATCGCCATTGCATGCACAGGCTGTGGTCGCCCAATTCCCCGAGGATTAACCCAACGCTTTCGAGGGAGGAAAACCTGAATTTCCACGAGAGAAAAACTCTAAGCTCAGCCTTGTTCGTTTCGTCCTCCCTAATATGCCGTACGCAAAATAATATTTTGGGCTCACTTTTCTATTTTGCTTTGCGACCAGACCCGATTCAGGATGAGAAGCTGACTGTATGCATAAAAAAAGTATTTTTGCGAGTACGTTTAGCCTGTTCGCCGGTGTTGTAGTGGTAATGGCGTGTGCCTACTAGATCACACATCGTGGGTGCGAATCCCGCCAAGTTTTTCGTTCTTTTCATATTTTCTTAGAAAAAAAGTTAAACCGTTTTTCTTCGTAATGTTTGTTTTCTAGAGTCAGGGTTGGGGTTCATTTAGTTTATAAAAATCTAATTTTAATTCATAGCAAATAGTAGCAATTAAAGCCGCCATTTCGAATCAGGCCTGGTTGCAGAGTGAACCCAAAGCAGTGAACTCTATAAAAACTGGAACGATAACTCGGGCTGTGTTTTTGAAGCCAAGATGGCGGAAATTGAAGCCTTTCTTGTGAGTGCGATCCAGGCCCCTACGCGGAAATTCACTGAATTCAGTACGAAAATTTCATTTTTAAGTTCGGCTTTACCGTTGCTCTAAGAAACTGGAGCAACTGGTCTTTCAGACTAATCAAATTTTAGAAACACTTCATCATGAAAAGCAAAGTTATCTGACGACTGAAAAACAAATTCAGAAAAAGGACCGCGGAGAGACACCAGCAAAATTCTGATTTTCTCGACTATATGAGGGATTTAAACTGAACACAGAATTATATGGACTGAAGTTGCACCAGTTTTACCTTTTCATTTAGTTTTTAGCTTTTGAAGTAGGAGCTTTGCCATTAAAATGAGCATTTATGTGCTAAAGTTGAAAAACATCGATCGGAAACTTTAGTCATTTTTCAGTTCCCGCGAAGTCCACGGGAAAAACACGCATGCTTTATGGGTATAAAGAGAGAGCACTCAGCAGGCCCCCATCTTGCAATACCAGCAGCCTTAACTCAGCGGTAAGGGGCAACACGCTAACCCTATCTGTCACCCATGGCCCCTTTAAGGCCATGTTACACGAGGTAATTTTTGCTGCAATTCACAAAGCAATTCCTGACATAGAACCATGTTACCTAAGAAGGAGTCGCAGGGGAATTGTGCGCATGGCCCACTGTTTACTCTGCCGACATTTCTAATCCTATTTCTGTCACTTTTCATACACTTGCAGAGTAGAATGCGGGCCATGTTGACAATTTATTTCTGACAACTTTTGTGATATCATGACCTCTCTCGGTAATTGCATTGCAAGTTGCGGTAACATGGCTATATATCCAACACTGCGTCCTAACTTGTAGCAAAAGTTGCCTCGTGTAACATTTCCTTTACAGATATTATTATAATTTTTAATTACACTTTTAGATTCTAATTCTTTGCTGATTTGGAACCTTAAATGTGGAACGATGCTCCATAGAGTTGATATTACACATGATATCGGAGCGTTGGCATTGGTGCCAGGAGGTGAATTTCTATTGTCAGGCTCGTATCGTCATAAGACGCTGACGTTGTGGGATCTACGCAATGGACAGTTTGTTGAAGAGTTTCATTTCGACCGGGGTGTTGGAGCTATAGCATGCTCCTCAAATGGGATGGTTTGTGTCGGTTTAGAAAATGGTCAGGTCTGCTTTCTGCGTTTCAATAATTTATCCTCTCATTCAGGACAACTTGAACAATAATGTTCAAGACTTTAAAGGATCAAGACAAATACAGGGTGTATAAAAAGACATGTTAGCTATTCAGTTATCGATAAATTTTTTTCGCAGCAACAGCAAAATAAAAATTGCTGAATTTGAATTTGAATTTAAAAAGCACTAAATATGGTGTGATAAACTTAAATAATTGTTGATAAATTGGTCACTTCTGTTTTAAGTTTATCGTTTGGCAAGAAACATTAGTGATTATTTGCTTTTTCTTTTGTTATGATTGCTTTTCTGCAATTATGCACGAAGGTGAAAAAATTTTGACCGGCAATTTTTAATCGGCTTGTATTTGGTCATTTGTGCTTGGAATGTAAAAAGGTCTTCCAGCTGAAATTGTCTATGTATACGACTAACTTTTCTTGTCCTCTTTTAAAACTTTAATAAATCATCACTACAAGGACTTGGAGGGAAATACATCGACAACTTAATTAACCTAATTCTCTTTTGTTAAAATTGTTGTAAATAGATATAGTGTTTGTATTTCTAAACAATGTATATATGTTGTATTGTAGTGGTGGTATGTTGCACTGGTAAAAATATTTATTTACAGTTTAAAAAACTTAAAATATAAATCAAGCTTTCGGACTGAGCGTCCATCGTCAGGATTAAAATGGCATGTGATTAGTCGCTTAAATACTATTTACATGTTAATGACCTAACTAAAATATTAAGTTTTTGAATAATTAGACTAGAAGACAAAAGTGTCATAACCAGGTGATCTCGTGTTCGTATTTTAGCCAATCAGCGCTCAGAAAGGGTTGTCCGAATAGAAATCCATTTTGATGTATTCAGTCAATTATATCTTTCGTTATTCTTTATGAAACTAGTTGAAATTTTGTAATTATACTTGCATATGAGAACTATATATAGCTCTGACAAAAATATGGAATCGAAATAAAGTATATTACAGGAGATCTTCAGTTGTTTTAATCATAAAATGGATTTCTATTTGACAACTAGTGCCAGTACTTTTCCGCGTATCAAGATCATCTATCTGGATAGAGTCATATAGTCTTTTGTCTTCTAGTCTAATTATTCAAAAACCTAATATTTTAGTTAGGTCATTAACATGTAAATAGTATTTAAGCGACTAATCATTTATGCCATTTTAATCCTGACGATGAACGCTTAGTCCAAAAGCTTGATTTATATTTTATGTTTTTTAAACTGTAAATAAAGATTTTTACCAGTGCAACATACCACCACTACAATGAAACTTCCTGGTAACATAACCACACTAAATGTATATATGTATTCATAAACGGCCCCTTGAAAATCACTTTTTGTTTACCGCTAAAGGGCTACCGTTTTAAAATAATATTAAATAATAATAATAGTAATAATAGATCTCATTCATAAGATAAAACTCTAATCTCTTTATTAATAGGAAAAAATAGATATTTGCACTCAATATTGAGGGCGCAAGAGCACGCTAAAGTTGGATTGCTTTTTTCTTGATACATCCTGTACATAGAATGCGTAGACGAGCACTTATGCCGCAAGAATCGCACGCGGGGTCCGGGGGCATGTTCTCTCCCATGCAAGGTCGGGTTGGAAACGGAATATTGAATATTGAGTTCAAAACTAGGTTGAATCAGTATAGGAACATGAATATTTATATTATATATTTATTAATACTAAGAATAAGAATATTTGAAACAGAATTCGAATGAATATTTTCACACACCCCCCCCCCCGGGGAATTTCGGGAATATTGAAGGTAGGAATATTGAATAATGCTTGAATGTTTAGGTAAAATTATTCTGCTTCCACCACCCGATTCAAGGTCTCTAGAGCAACATTTCTTGCATTCTGGGACGAGTTTTCAAGAAAAATCATAACCAGAAAAATGCCATTTTATCGTTATTCCAGATATTGCACCTTCGCTCCACTTTTCTGCTCGGATTTCATCTTCTCACTAAACAGTTTTGCAGAAAATTGGGGGAGGGGACAGACTCGATCCTCTTGCCCCTTCCTGGCTACACCACACTGCATCAGACTAAATCGCGTAGAAAGTAAAGACAAGTTACTTACACTGCTATCTATTTCAACCGTTACGAAACCATTTAGCACAGAACTCATCAGTCCTGTGCTACTGTTCCGAAAAGTTGAAAGTGCCTAGACCCTAAGATAACCATGTATCTTACCTGAAACGCGCATGTTAATGACATTACACACGTAAAATCTCACAACTTGTCAACAAGATTTGCTCGCCACAGGCTTGTAGCATGCTTGTCAACAAGTTGTAACAATGCTGTTATTTTATCAAGTTGCTACAAGGTTGTCACTCACAACTTGCTGACAAATTGGTGAACTGCAGGATGATAACAAATTGTTGCAACAACTTTGCTCAACACCCTTGTTACAAATCTTCCCAACAGCTTATGTATAGAATTTTGGAAATGTTTTCCCGGCAATCTTCTCTGGAATGAATAAAAGTTTTATTTTCTGAAGTTTTGAAATAAAGGAACGTGCAGAGAAATACAGAAACCAAACCATTGGGTAATATTTAACATATAGAGGGTTAGCAGTAATCGTGTTTTAATGACCACCCAATGAAGCAATGCATGCAATAACCTGCGATGTTCACATGACGATTTAAATACGCATCGCAAAACATACGCAGACAAAAATATACTGCTGTATTTTTGTATCGTTGAACGCGGTAACAAAGATAGCTAGGTATGGACGAACAGTTTCCATTATCTTGAAATAATTTATTTTTCTTTTAATAATATTCAAACTTCATGTCATGCAGCAAAAAAATACGTGCTCACCGTAAACACTCTCCAATTGTGATTTTGCAATGAGGAAGACTTGACTCGTGACATCAGGCGAGTTTGACGAAGTCTTTGTAATGATGGAGGTTTAACAAAGATCACATAAGGATGCAGTTCAGTTGTTCGAAGGATTGCCAGTTCCTTGGAGAAAAATAAAACCGCAATAATAAAACTTTAATATTACAACCATTAATATTAGCATACGCAGGGACGCCGGAACTGGGGGGCAGGGGGGGGGGGGCGGCTGCCCCCCTTGCCTTTTGCTAGGGGGGCAGGGGGGGCAGAAGT